CAAGACTCTGTTGCCTCTACTGCCAACCCTTAAATGAGGTCTGGGAATCTCATTGCATGCACCTGAGCTCCCCTGGCTTGGCCCTGCCTTCCTGCCAGGTGTTCAATCACTGTTTCAGGCCGCGACAGCATTTCCACTACAGTGATAACATACCAAACCCAACTAGAAAAGAATACATATCACACTTCAGTAGAACTTTGCAGCATCATCCACCAGTGATGCTGTGGTCAGTGCTCTCTTAAGAAATAAAAGCAAGGAAAACAGTTCCTGGACTACTTGTCTGGAGGTTTTTTTTGGTTTTGGTTTTTTTTTTTTTTGTTTTTTTTGTTTTTTTGTTTTTAATGTATACAGCCAAATACTCCACAAGCTTTGTCATAGAGATTGATAGTTAGCAAATGATAATATGAAACTAAACTGAAAGGATTTGAGGTTACTATGTACAACCCAATAAAACAGTTTCCCTTTGATTGTTCCATTTCTTTTCTTCCCTAGAAAGCAGCTGTGCAACATGTCATTTGAAGATTTTGAGAACTACTCTTATTTCTATGACCTGCCTGAGGAAGAAGAATCACCCCAGTCCACCCTCAGCATTGCCCATATGATTTCCCTTTCATTTTACAGTGTGGCATTTCTTCTGGGAGTGCCGGGTAACGCCATCGTCATCTGGTTTATGGGCTTCAAGTGGGATAAATCTGTCTCCACGCTCTGGTTCCTTAATCTGGCCATCGCAGATTTCATTTTCGTTCTCTTTCTGCCCCTTTATATCACATATGTGGCAATGGGCTTCCACTGGCCTTTTGGGAAGTGGCTCTGTAAAATGAACTCATTCATTGCACTACTGAATATGTTTGCCAGTGTTTTCTTCCTGACATTCATCAGCCTTGACCGCTACATCCGCCTTGTGCACCCAGTTTTTTCCTACAAGTACCGGACTATAAAGAACACCCTCATTCTTAGTATGATCATTTGGATGTCAGCTGCCATTATTGGTGGCCCTGCCTTATACTTTAGAGACACAGCTACTGCTCTCAACAATGTCACCATTTGCTACAACAACTTCCACGTGCATGACAGAGAACTCGTTTTGCTGAGACATCACATTCTGATTTGGGTGAGGCTTGTATTTGGTTACCTCTTTCCTCTACTGACCATGGTGATCTGTTACTCATTGCTGATCGTTAAAGTAAAGAGGAGAACGGTGTTGACTTCTAGCAGGCTCTTCTGGACCATCATTGCTGTAGTTGTAGCTTTTTTTCTTTGCTGGACACCATATCACATATTCAGCATTGTGGAGCTCTCTGCTCACCATGACGAAAATTTGCATGACTTATTGCAGGATGGCATTCCCCTCTCCACGGGCCTTGCTTTCATCAACAGTTGTCTCAATCCAATCCTCTATGTTCTCATTAGCAAGAAATTTCAGGCTCAGGTCAAGACAACAGTCTCTGAGGTGCTAAAATTGGCACTGTGGGAAGTGAGCCGCTCAGGAACCGTCAGTGAGCAGCTGTGGAACTCAGACAACACTCATGCCCCTGTGCACCACTGCGAAACTGCTCAGTGACTGTTCACCACCATCCATCTATAAAATAGCTGACAGATTTGGAGGTGTTGTTGGCTTCACATCTGCCAGTGAGATGTGCATCTTTGCATATACAGTTTTGTATTAATGGCTGGCTTTACTGTGCTTGCTGCTTTCCTTTAAATGTTTTTAAAGGATACATCATTTGGGTGTGGTGTGGTTGCAGCGTGGACGGCCTGAATAGAAAGTCGTCTGGGTTTTCTATCAGGAATATTGTTGTAATCCTGTTGTTGACAATACTTCACTGATCACAAAAGAGCACATAACATTCCTCTGATCGCCACTGATAACACTTTTCATCTAGGCATCCTCATGTGAGAGATCATGTCAGACACCAGTGGTTTGTGAGTGTCACAAGTATTCCACTATTGTTTAAAGTAGGAGTCACCTAGCTATATCCCAGCCAAAAGAAGCTGTCATTAGCTTCACTCTGCAATCAGAAAGGTAACTCAATACAGAGAACAGTGAATTGCTGCCTTTTCCTTCTAAAGAAGCACAGAAATGTTTTCTCCCGTTGTTTTGTCTTATATTGAGCTGAGCCAGGGGGCTGTGGTTTCTTGTCATTTTTTGCTTTTAATGCCATCTGGTTGTAAAATACTAAGCAGGTGTTTCAGAAAGTATTTTGGCTCATTTGAAATATTCAAAGAATTAGTGGAAATGTTTCCCACTGAATCTGAGACTTAAAGCCCTTGTCACATGTTCTTTTTCTGTGTTTAAACTTTCAGGTTTCAGAGACTTCACAATTATCAGCTGTTTTCTGCTGGTCTTGCAAACAAAGGTTAAGATGCAGTAAAACACTTTGTCCTACTGTCTAAATAGGAGTGGAGTGAATTCAACAACATTCTTTTACAAGCAGGTAGCCAAATTCAGACCTCTCTACCAAGCTGCAGTCAAGATTGTACAGCCAAAATACAAAGTTCGCTCGCATAAGAAATAGGCAGTAGACCCAGTTGTCCTATTTTCTGCTCCAACATGTTGCCTGCTGTAGAATCACACCTACAGCAATGCAAATATACACACTAAGAGGAGCAGACCAATTTCTGAGGCAGTACCACTTGATCGAGAAGTTGTACGTGAGATAAAACTGCGAAGAATAAAAGCATAAAGCTTTAGGTAACTCGCTTTTTATTGTTACTGGCCTGCATATCTAGAGTAAAACTGGCTTTCACATAACCTACATGTTAACATGTAAGTCGCGTTTATATTGTAAATGAGGCCTTGCATGTAAAACTATGCATCTGCATTCATGCATAAGCACATCCAGTACTGATAGCTGCATAAATAGCAACTGTCTGATTGCGGTCTGTAGCTGTTTCTTTGGGCTCTGGTCTCAGAGTTTTAGTGAGGCAGAACCTATGGAATTTCAGTGTATTTAACTTTGGGCTGGAAAGTTGGTAAGCAGCATTCTTTCCTTTGAGTCATTCACTGCCTGGTACACAGTGACTCACCCATAATATTCTGGCACTATGCAGCTGAGCATGCCTAAATCAACTGTTTGCCGTTTTTCTTCACATATTCCTTGACATCTTTCTAAGAATGTGTTTTAGTGCTCCTTCCCTGACTGTACTCCAAGTGGAGTAATAAAATTCTGTTGGCTCTGAAGAATGTGTTCATTTGCTTTTCTCAGCAGCAAATACACAGTGACTGTTCACAGAACAGCACCTTCTTGACGTTTTTAAAAGATGAAAGAAAACCCTGACCTTTTATGTTACAGGAATTAAAGTTTATTCAGTTTTTTTTTCCATGCACATTAGGTATATGAGAACAAATATATGAGCAAAGAACTTGATTTTCAAAACAAGAGAATTTTACATTTGCTTTGTCTTGTGTACGTAATCAGAAAATGTTTTACAATGCTTTGCTTGGACCAGCTCTCTGGATTAAAAAAAAAAAACATACTGCCAACATCTAACCACCACCTTCACCAAAAGCTTCCCCCACATAGTATAGAATCTGGCCAATATCGGTCCCAGTTTGTGGAAAAAAATAGACCAACAACTTCGCAAGGTTATTGCTACCTCCTTCATACCAAGATCAGCTACATAATTGCCTCCAACTCATTTCTGCAAAAGTAATGGAAGATATCTAATCAAAACAGCATTCTCGGTCTGTTTCCAAAGAATAACAAAAAAGTCCAATTACCCTCCTACACTGCTTGGACAGAAGAATGCTCATTCAAAGCTCTATGATGAAAAAAGAAGCAGAGGAAGGGAATCTGTCTTATTTTGCTATGAGATACTGCATAGAAACAAAAAACAACAAAACTTAATAGCAGCAGGTTCTATTCTTAACTGCTTCTTAATGTTTGTTCTTTTGAAGATTGTGTGGAAGTGTTTCTGACACTTTTGTTAAAACTCTATTACTTTAAAAAACAGTGGTAACTGGCAGCCCTTTTTAAGAAGAGGCACCAGTTCTCCCATGTTACTTTATATGACTGCATTTAAGATCTCTAACTTACGATTGATCTTGTCATTACAGGTTACATTTGAAACAGCGATGTCTCATTCAGTCTAAGATACTGATTTTTCAGAGGCACGCTGTAGTAAGCTGTACTTGAACAAAATTATAAGATATTATCCACCTGCATTAACTGTAGCACATAGCCACTGCACCCCATTAATCCTCCAAGCACGTGGCAATGCCCCGGTCCTCTTGAAGGGACACGCTGCCCCCTAGCTATCTGTGCATTAATCGCACCTCAAGGATCACAATCCTACTACTCAAGGTTAAAAACCAATACTGGCCTGCAGTTTAAGGCACACCAAGGCCTTGACCTTAAAGCAGGAATTATGCAGTACTAATTAAGCCCTCCCTCCCTCCCGGAAAATTTGAGGTTATTTCTATTTTTTATTTTTAAACACTTCGGGAGAAAAAAAATCTCAGATCTACACAACTGGAGATGGTGAGAAGTTAATTTGACTTGAGACTGCCAGGGTGAACAGTACATTTCACCACATAACCTCCACTGCACTGCAGTCCTCGTTGCTTTAAACTTCCCTATCTTTGTCTTCATTCCCTTAGTGCCAGTTAAACTATAGCTTTCAAAAGGAAAAGGCAAAGGCCACCATACAACTATTTGGTTAAACACCACCCTTTCTATACAAAATTTATATTCCTTTTGAAAAAAGTGCTACAGCCCTGTGCTTCTCCCTGAAAGCAATCTCTCCTTCCAGATTAAACACAAGTATCCAAATATGTAACCGCCTAAAATAAAGGGCATTTCAGATATTTAAAGCCACATGAATATTAAGCCTAGACATACGGCAACTGGCAACTCTCTCTTTGCTCTGGCACTAGGTACTATGGTGCTGGAACAATCCTAAAATCCAATGTATTAGCTTCTACTTTACCCATCAATCAAATTTTACATTAACAAACTGGATTGCACTATGACTTTGAATTAACGACAGAGATGGCCCAATTTTTGCAATTATATTTATTCTAGATAAATCAAGGCTTAGATCTTGTTGAAAGCAGCTACATCCATTGATTGTACATAATCTTCAAAAGCTGTTATTCTTTCTTCCAGCATGTCTGTTCCAACTTTATCATCTTCAACAACACACTGAATCTGAAGCTTTTTGATACCATAGCCAACTGGTACTAGCTTGGCTGCAAAACAAACAAAAAAAAAGCATTAAACACTCCTTGCTTGAAAAGTCAAGTCAAAGATATAAGTGGCTGATAGCATTAATCAACAAGTTGATCTGAAAGTTGTGCTTATTTGAATCTTAAACCTTGCTGCTGCCCTAGCAGCTTTCTGACTAACCCCTTTTACATTATCACTCTTGTGAGATTATGCAAAGAAAAACATCAATTTGCTATTTAGTGGGTGCTAGTTCACCAAGCAGCACACATGCCCAGCTCATGGTGCACATGCTCTGCGCAGCATGGCAATTAATTCTCTATTTTAGCTACCTATAGTATCACAGATAGATATACAGCACCCACACACACATGATCACCATTTTCCCCACTTTGAATGTTACTTACAAGACCCCCAGACCAGGCCATCTGCTTGAATGCTTCGAACGCACTCCTCTAATTTGGCCATGTCTGTCTCATCATCCCAAGGTTTCACATCAAGCAAGATTGATGATTTGGCAACAACAGCTGGTTCTGAAGAAAAAAAAGAAACTTCCTATCAACAGCTGGGAAATTTTCAGGAAGCTCAAGAATACACCTGCAAAACTAACTTCACAAGACAAACTTTCCCAGCTTAATAAAAAAAACTTCATAACTCAGGCCTTTTGTACCAACATGCGTTTTTAAGAGTTCTGAAAATATATATCCTGATATTTAAGATGTAGATGCATGTTTTCAAAAAATGCTCTAAAAAGGTAACATAAGCTAACATTGTTTGTTACATAGGAAGTCCTTCTTAGGGGATCTGAGAAGGAGCTTAATACTACGTAACAGTTCATCTTCCACAGAGGGAATACTGCAACTGCTACAATCCCAAACAGTTTCAGACCAGTAACTGTGGAGGAACCTGCATGCAACAGCCTTTCTTTTCAAAGCTAACTATTGATTGACTTTCTTAGACTAGTCAGAGTTCTTATGCAGATGCATTTTATACTACTTTGCATCTGTTTTATTCAAATAAGATCCCAGAGTTCTTTTTGTAGAGAAAAAGCTTAGCTTCTTCATTAAAGATAAACAAAGGTATAATAGACAGGACAAACAGTATGCTATGGTTCAGATTTGCTACAGGAAAGGCTAAGCTCACAGACCATTCAGGTGAAGCAAACTACTTCTGCTTCATTCCAGTGAAGCTTCTCTTTCACAAATACAATTTCTAATCATGCTGTTCAAATTCATAAGGAGGTCAAAGTTATTCAAAGGCATACTTTTGGACTTCTTTGATTCATACTGGGCCAGGCGTTCTTCCCTCAGTTTCTTCGCTTCTTCACTTTCCTGAAACAGAAATACAAAGTCACCAAAAAAAAAAGCGCCAAAGCCCTGGATCTTAAAGCATTATTAGATTGACTGGCATCTACTCAGGAAAAAACAAATCATCACAGCTGTCAGCCGAAAGATGGTGATTTTTGTTTTATTCATCATGTAACCAGTCAAAGCAGACATTTCAACCCATCCTATTTCTTTCTAATGGAGAGTTTTTATGTTACATTCAACAAAGACATTGGAGTTTGGAGATCCTGAACAGTATCTGTTATTAAGGTCACAAACTAAAACAAGTAAGGTAAACGCTTGCCTATCCAGGTGGTTCTTAAATATATATGTATAAAACTAAGTCATCAATACCTCTTCATCATCAGATCCAAAAAGATCAATGTCATCATCATCTTTGCTATCTGTGGCTGCACCTGTTGTGTCTTCAACATCAGCAGGACCATATTTCCCCAAAGCCTTCTTTATTCCTGGCAGACTAAAGGAAAACCGGTAATAAGAACCTATTCAAATATCTGTAGAAATGCTACTTGATTGCCATTCGTAAGCACATTCATAGCAATAACACTGTGATAAGCACAAGAAAAGTTAGTTTTGCTACTTGAAAACACAAAACAATGCTTCTGGAAACACCTTAATTGAAACTACAGCAAATCCTACAAAGATTGCCTATCTAATCACTGATGGATCCCATGTTATTTTGCTGCCCTGTGTGTGTGACTATATGGATAGTAAAAATTTCCATAATGGAATCTGCAATATATTTTGTGTAGCAGGAGTTATCAATTTGTTACCCTAAAAATATTTTCACTTGTTTAAATTAGTAGTAACAGAAAACATGTTGACGGTGCACAAGGGACCAAAATCCCATTAGTTTCCTATTGTTACTGTGAACTGCTGCTATAAATGTCATAAAGTTAAGATTTAATTTTCAGAAATTAACTGAAGTTTCCAGAGTAGACTTTTTGAGGAAACTTTATCATCTCAGTCCTGTCTGGGTTTGAGAGCTCAGCCACCCAACTTCACACCAGCCCCCTCCAGAAGAGGGCTGGGGCACAAAAAGGTGACAGTGTAGCAGTGCTGACACTGCCTATGCTGTACCTTTCCAGAGAGGCCTGCAGTCACCATGGATGTCAATTCAGCACCTTTCACGAACACTAACATCGCTAAAAGAGAGAAGAAATAGCCTTTGCCTTTACAGTCATCATTCTTCACATGTTTTTCTTCATTGTCAATCCTCAATTTAGTGTCACCTTCCAGGATTAGAAGTCTGAACAAATCACCTTCTTCATTTCTGCCTGTTGTCTTCAGCCTTCTCTCACAGCTCCTAATTCTGATCCTACCCTCATGGAGTAGATCACTGCTAAGTAATTTCCAGCTTTCAGCACAGTCACTTGAGAAGGAGACAGCAACAAGACCCAAGCTCTCTTATAAGTTTCTACAGAAACCCTGTAGAATCTGCACAAAGGCAGATTCAGCTTCCTCATCTGTTCCTTGTTTCTGTTGCAAGAGGCTATACAGCAGCAGGGAAAAGCCCCTTCCTCTCTGAGCTCAGAGAGAAAGACAGCAGTACGCATACCAGTTCACACATGTGTTCAGTTTGCAGTTTAAGCATACCTCGCCTTTTGCTTTTCGTAGGACTTAATGTGATTGTACCACCGAAGGGCATGGAACAGCTCTGCAGGAGGCGGGGCACCGACAGCTTCAAAGACCGCTATGTCGGCCTGGGAGGGCACATACCTGCAGGAAGAAGCCGAGGTCAGCCCCGTGCTCAGCGCCCGCAAGGCGCCCTCCACCGAGCACACGGCGGCCCGCGCCCCAGCAGCAGCCCAGCGCCCGCCCACCCGACACGAGGGTTACGCACACGCGTGTCCCAGGGCCACCCCGCCGCTCCCCCGTCAGGCCTCGCCACGGCCCAGCCCGCCTCCCTCCCGCCGCCCCTCACCCTTCGATGTAGCTCTTGTCGGCCAGGAAGTCGTTGAGGACCCGCAGACCGGCAGCGGACTTAAGGTCCCCAAAGCCCATGGCGGCAGCGGCGCCCAACGCCACCCACACCGAAGCCCCGCCGCCGCGCAAAGAGGCCCAGCACTCCCTGCGCTCCCCTTATATAGCGGCTGATCCCTCCGCGGCATTGCACGAACACGTATCCTTCCGCCGGAAAGCGCCGAAATAGTTCCCGGCGGGCTGGGCGCCGCTCAAGCGCAGGGCGTGCTGCAAACTGGGCGACATACGAGCGGAGGTGGATTAGAGTGAGAATTGTAGCGGAACGTGCGGAGCTCAGGAGCCCTGTCAGTACTGGGCCGCTGTTACACCCATCCTCGTCCCACCCTCCCCCCGCTTCGCTGCATCAGCGGAAGTAGCGGCAGTCGGTCGACGAAAGCGGCAGCGGCACAGGCGGAACTTGCCGGAGCGGCGCGTTTGACGGTGGCCGAGAGGGCTCCGCGGGAAGGCGGAAATTGCCGACGGGCGCAGCCTAGCGGAGCGATCCGAAGAGCTCCGTTCCGAAAATTGCCGATCGGCTCGTTCCCGGAGATTGCCGAAGGAGCGGCGGAAAGGGCCGAGGCGGTCGCCATAGGGGCTGTGGCGGACGGGTAAGGCCGAGCCATCTCCGCCGGCCGTCCCGCACCCGCCGGTAACGGGATCGGCTCCTCCTCGAGGTAGGGGCGCTGGGCTGCAGCCGCGGGCCCGGCGCCTTCCTCCCGCCACTCTCGAGGTGCCGCCAGGGGGGCCGGGGCTGCCGGCGTAGCCGCCCGCAAGGTGACCCCTGGCCGCGCGCCTCAGTCGGCGCGTTTGTAGCGTGCCGCGAGGCGTTCCGAGCGCCGCAGCCCCGCGCCGCTTCTCTCCGCAGAACGCCGCACAGCACCATGCTGCGCCTGCCCGCCCTCCGCACGGCCCTCGCAGCGGCCGCGCCGGCCTCCGCACTGCGCGGTAAGTGGTGCCGGCCCGCTGCCGGCGGGAGGTGAGCGGGACCGGAGTCGCGTCGGCGCCGTGAGACGGCGACGGGTGCGGGATCTGCCCGTTCGTGTCCGGCTGCCGGGGAAGGGCTTGTTACGAAAACTTTCCCCTGTCTTTCAGGCCGCACGACTGCCACGGCAGCCGGCAACCAGATCGAGGTGTTTGTGGACGGCCATCCCGTGCTGGTGGACCCCGGAACCACGGTGCTGCAGGTGCGGGCGCCGCACGGCAAGGCTTTACTGCGCTCCTTCGCGGCTCTTTGCGGCGTTTGTGTTCTCGCTTGCAGAAGCCTTTAAAATCTTAAAATTACCGATTGCCTGGGTTTGAAAGGGACCTTAAAGCCCCTCCCTGTTGTGGGTGGCTCTGCCACTCACGTCAGGCTGCCCGCGGCCGGTCCAGCCTGACCTTCTGTGCCTCCGATTTCACGTTGAATCCAATCTGCAAGGCTGAAGTAAGGCGTACAAGAACAGGCTTAAATAAGTTCTGGTTCCAGCTCGGAATGCTATCAGCTATGGCACACTCCGTAGGCTACAAATTCTAGCTCTAGATTCTAGAAGCTGTAGCACCTGTTTACTAGCTTACGCTCATTTTTGCTGCTTTTCAGGCCAAAATGTCAAGTAGATCGTTCTCCGGTCTGATATCTTTTCAAGCAGCCATTTAGTGGGGGTACAGTATAATGAATTAGAACATTGCTGCTCTTTGGATATTGTATGGGAACTGTTGAGTCACGGCCTGAACCACTGATTGAGCTCCTAGGGAAAGGATTGGGTCAGCCCTGGGAGCACAGGTGGAGGCAATTCAGCTGTGTGACAGGAAGGGGGTGGAGCTTGGCTGCACCTCTCTTAGACCTCATTTAAGGGCTGACTCCCATGGGGGAAGGATCTCTTTCTGGAGATCACTCCTTGGTGGAGCTTTCTTCTGTGAACCTGTGCTCTTCCAATATGTCTTCTAATATGGGTAAGCAATTTTTTTTTTTCCTTCCCTAATGGTATACCTTTATATTGTGCTGATAATAAGATATTGTCCTATCTTATTGACCTATCTAATTGTTATAGATACAAGTCACTAATTAATTGATGACTTCTGACTGATGGTACACACACAAATAATTCTGTAGCGTTCTTTGTGTCATCTGAAGCTAGTGCTGTCGTAGAAATCCTGTGATACGGGGGGTGTAGACAAAAAGCAGGTTCATTCATTCTTAGCAAATCTTTTGTCTGACCCATTGTGTTGCCTCTTCAGATACAGTGTAGAAGACTGTTTCTTTAGACTTAAGTTCGTGCTGAGATTGAAGATGGACAGTGCCCCTGTACATTTATGCTGTGTACCAATTTTGTTGGATTTTCTGATGTCATAATGCCCATTCTTTCTTACATGTTTTTCAATCTTTATGTACTTCTCTTCAAATAGTGTCTTCTTTCTTTAGGACTTTATTTCTTGCTTCTGGTGTTCTATCTAATAAACAGACTTCCTCAACCTTTAAAGAAAGAATGAAAGACCAATTCTCAGTTTGTCAGCTAGGCATTGTGTTGGAAAATAATCATATTTATTATTAACAGCCTTTGCATATTGCTGCTTGTTTACAATTTTTAAAACTTATTTCTCTAGAAGCTAAGAGTTTAGTTGAGTTGAAAAGTTGAAAGCTCTGTATTTCTGGGCACTGAAACCACTGCTCTTTGGAGAAAAATTTCAGCTGTCTGTGCTATGTGTTACAAGACCTTACTGAAAGATGTAACTGAAACTTAATTTCCCTTTGTTCTTTATTCTGTGTAGGCCTGTGAGAAGGCTGGAGTTCAGATACCGCGGTTTTGTTACCATGACCGTCTCTCCGTTGCTGGAAACTGTAGGATGTGTCTTGTGGAAATAGAGAAAGCTCCAAAGGTACTGTGTATGTTCTGTAAGAAGTACAGTTTTTGCTTTGTACTTGTTTTGTACAATCTTAAGCACAGGAATTACTGTAATTCAGCTGCTTCAAGCAGGTTTTTCCCTTTCCCCACTTTTAAGTTAATCTCTATGTTATATATGCATGAAGGCCAAGTTATGCTGAGCTGCTGTGGTTGTCTATTTTTAGACCTGTGAGCGGTCACTCCTTTTCTTATGTATTATCGTGCTGTGAGATGAGCATTTGATAGCTGTGTATTTTCAGATATGTTCTTATGTAATTCAAGCTTCACCTGCAGATTTTCAGTTGATAGCACACAAGCAGAACACTTGGACTCAGCCATAGGATTAGCACTTGCGCTAGTTTGCTCTAGCTAAGGACTGTAGTTACCACTTTGTATTTTAGTGCATTGTGTACTATTGAAGTTCACTGTAAAATAGTAATTAACTCAGATTGAATTCTGCCTTCAGCAGTATTGTTCTACCAATCACAGAATCACCCGGGTTGGAAGGGACCTCAAGGATCATGTAGTTCCAACCCCCCACCACCACCAAGTCCAGTTAGATACTTAAGGCATTCTTTTGGAGTTTTGGATTGGGTACTTAAATAAACATTTATGTACTCCTATGAAACTCCCTAGCTCACGTCAGCTTGAATTCAACAGTTTGAGCTTTGAATCTCCAGTAGTACTGCATCATTACAGGTTGAAATTATGATCTGTATCATAATGTGAGTGGAAGGTAGGAAGGATTTATTTTCTGAGGAGGAGTTTTTGATAATTTTGCATTCATCTTGTGAAGAGTTTTATTCCATGACTCTTGGGAAATGTTGTGTCCAAATAAGTGCCCAGTAGCTAAATGATACATGCTTTCAACTTCAGTGCTAGAAGATTTTGAAATAATTAACCTCAATTATCTAACTTTTTTTTTTTTACAGCAAGTTATTAATAACTAATATTAAATTAGTGACTTCTAGTGACACTACTGGTTAGGTTTCCTTTTTTCTTTTTTAGTGCAGATACCTTTTTATTTCTGTAATGTGTTAAATTAATAACAGGTGCCTATGTCAGAATTCGGGGAGGGAGACTGGGATTTATGTCAATACTGAGAAGAAATATGTTGTGCTCATGCTTGCTGTTTATGATGATTGCAGCCAGTAGCTGCTTGTGCCATGCCAGTTATGAAGGGCTGGAACATTCTGACAAATTCTGAGAAGTCCAGGAAAGCAAGGTACCTTTGTTTTAGTCTCCTGTGGCTGATTACTTGTACTGTCTGCTAACGGGTATGGAGTGAACATTAACTGTATTCCTGAATCCAACAGAGAGGGTGTAATGGAATTCCTGCTGGCAAATCACCCACTGGACTGTCCTATCTGTGATCAGGGTGGAGAATGTGATCTACAGGTACAGCATTCATTTAAATAGTGTAGACATGTATTAATGTCTTGCCTTAGGTGACACTGTGCTGTCCAGCAGTCTGGATACATATATTTTTTCATTGTCTGTTCTAGGATCAATCAATGATGTTTGGCAGTGATAGGAGTAGATTTAGAGAGGGAAAACGTGCTGTTGAGGACAAGAACATTGGCCCATTAGTCAAAACAATCATGACTCGGTGTATACAGTGCACTCGATGTATCAGGTAATGTCCTTTATTTTTCACTGGAGAGAGTACTTCAGCAGCAATATCTATATAAACTTGTTACTTGTAAAAGAAATGTGAGAGGCAGCCAACATTTCTTTTTCCCTTTTCTAATTGTACTTAAGAACTCTTTCTGGAAGGGACTGATGGCTGTTTTCCCAGAGCTGCCAGACAGCTGTCAAAGGAAGCAGAGAGAGATGGCCAGAATGGAGTGAAGTTGGCACTCTGTTAGACAGAGCTGGTGACTTCCTTGGCCAGAACTGCAAGATTGATTTATTCTTGACAGCCTCTGGTAGCTGTATTTATGCTGTTCCTTGGTTCTGAGATGCAGTACTGGCTTGAGCCAGATGGAAAAAGAATACAACATATCTGTCTACTTCTAGAAAGAAGTTCTTAGGTACAGCTAATCTTAGACTTGAACTCTGAAGTTCAGTGACCGCTAAACCACTGTACTGTGGTGTTTTGATTTAACTACACCTAATTTTTGTGGCCCCATCTAAATGAGTTTCAACATATGTACAGTCCTGCATGAAATGAATGTATCAAGGTAGTAGTTCTGTCTTGAGGTAGGTGAACAAAGGCTAACATTCGTATTCGGAAAGAGTTGAAAA